AGAAATCACTATGCTGATTTAAACAATAATCCAGATCACAATGCACAGAATGCAATGTACTCAAGGTGTTGTCATTCTTCCCTTGTGCAGTCCTAGTAACATCATATCTCATCAAGTTACAATTAGAAATGTTTCTCTGTTTCTCTAATTGGATCTAATTAAACCCACATTCACACACACACACACATCAAGATATATGTTACTTTTTGGACATTTACACCATTAGAATGTAATTCACCAGAAATATTTGCATAAACGAAAAGTCGATTTTGAAAAATATTCTTGTTTATTTAATTTACAAGAAAACTTCATGTTTATATGAACAGGCCCAGTCAATGGAAACGTCTAACCTGGTGTAATTTCTGACTCTGTCTTTGCAGTCATTCCTACGCTATACAGAACAGGCACAATATAATGACACCACATTCCCATAGACAAACACCATCAATATCTGCCTTTGGGAAAATATTGTTGTGATGTAAAATGGAAAATTTGGACTGACCAAGACTGCACCTACTGATACAGAATTGTAGTAACAAAAATACATTGAGCAGCCTGCTCAACTCAAGAACTGTATGCGACTGAAATATGGGACAATGAAATGCACTGTGCAAAATACACAAAACCAGGTATGCAGACTCAGAACCTAAGTACACTGACATTCGGGCCACACCACTTTTAGGTAATTTGAAATAATAATAATAAAAAAAAAAAAAGAAAATATTTTTGTTTTTCAAATGGGTTGATGTCTCTGTGAGCTTTTATTATCTGACCCTGATTACTCTCTTAATGGCTACGGAACATGATGATGATTTTGTTGCCAGATAAAAGCTGCAAAGCTACATGTTGCTGGCCATTCCTTCCCTGTCGTTTCTCTATATCCTGCTGATTGAGCACATGTTCCATTTGCCACAACAGGCTCAGAATTCAGCAACCAGTCTCTGGCATGGAAGATGCAACATGAACTGGGAATGCTTTACAGAGGAAAAGTAGTGCAAGTCTCTCTTCTTTGCTTAGAAAGCCCATATAGATTTGGCTGAATGCATCAAGAATGTTTGACATATGCTTCACAGGACTCCTCTGCTTGTTCAGGTTCAAAGATCCTTCACGTTTCCTTTCACGTGGACTATCGATGACAGCGACACATAGATGTTGACGCCCAAGCACTGACGGAAGAACAACATCTGCTCACTTTGTACATACTGGACAAATCCACATTTCTGCTGACATTTTCCGTTGCACAATGCTTCACATTGAGAAGGTCTAGTGAAGATGGAGATTGGAGATCATCTATGAAGACTATGCAAATGCCGTTATTTTCTCTTGAGAAACAAGGCAGTTCCATAGATTTACATTGACGTATAAGAGAAAATAAAATATCCCAGCACTTTGTGGTTCCCTTTTTGAAAATAGTATTCAAGTAGAACTTTAATGCTAGGGTCTGTGAAACCTGTAAAACAGAAAATATACAAACATTTTTTGGCTTGATGTTCTCTTTTGTAACAATGTTACAGAATATATCTTTTGTAATTTGTTTGCAAGTCTTCTCTTAATTTTTTTTCTCTTTATTAGGTGAAAAAAACTGCTGTGCTATTCGAGACATCCTAAAAATAATTATATATAGGAATCTCCATATGAAGGAGAATACAACGAATGTCGTGCATAATAAACATTTCTAAAGGTATGTCTAGAGCAGTGGTCTCCAAACTGTGGCCAAATGTGGCTCTTTGCTTGTCTTTATCCAGCCCTTGGGGCGCTATTTTATCCGCTGACACCAAAAATGGGGCATAATTTCTGTCACAGACACCATCAGTGGGTCAGTATTCCTTCCATTGACACCATTGAAAGGGCACAATTCCTCCCACTGACACCAAAAATGGGGCATAACTCCTTCCAGTGATACCAACGATGGGCCAATATTCCTCCCACTGACACCAACAATGAGGCACTATTCCTCCCATTGCCACCAAAGAAAGGGCACAATTCCTCTCACTGATAACCATGACAGGGCGCTATTCCTCCCACTGACACCAACAATGAGGCACGATTCCTCACACTGACACTAACAATGAGGCATAATTCCTTCCATTGACACCAAAGATAGGGCACTAGTCCTCCCACTGAAAACAATGATGGGGCACTAGCAGGGGCGGATTGACAACTCATGGGGCCCCTGTGTCCTTGCCCAAACTCAAAAAAGCCTATGAAAAAGGTACCAGGGGCATCTCATGGGGCCCCCTACTGACCCTGGGCCCTCGGGCAGTGCCTGAGTTTCCAAATGGTCAGTCCACCCCTAGGCACTAGTGCTCCCACTGAAAAGAGATAAGGCATTGCTTACACCCACTGGATCCCAGGACATTTTCTATTCCCACTGACCCTAGTCTGGCCCCCCTAAATTCTCAAGAACAGTAAACTGGCCCTTTGTTTAGAAAGTTTGGAGACCCCTGGTCTAGAGTATGGTATAGCTAGTAATAGCCACAATAAACTATATCAGTGCTGCAATGGTGAAGGCATTTTGCCACTTGTCAAGTAGCATCCCCAATTTAACTGACAGTGTCTCAAGTGTTATGACCATACCTCAGCTTTTACAGGCACAGGAGTGAATCAGTCACTGTAATCCAATTATCTTGGTGTCAAATATTGTGTCAAGGCCAATAATATGATGGAAGGTGTAAAAGTTTGGCAAAGCACGTTGTTCTATGTAGGCGACAGATGATGTCATCTTCCTAAAAGTTGACCAAGCACTCCTAAATAGAAGTGGGGGCCTTTGAGATCAGCTTTTGCCCAGATAAAATGTCATTTAACATCTCTACCCTGTTGATTTAACACCTATCATAGACCTTTTGACGCCATGGGATTGGAATATGTAATTAGAGTAGAATAGTTTTGCAAACTTTCACAACTCCCATAATGTTCTTGAGCAATCTACTTCTGCCTCAACACATACCATTGTGATTGGATTAAGGAGATTGAATTACCCAAGGGAGTATAAATACTAGCTTTTTCCTAAAGGAAATTTCAGCCAAATCACAGCAGCATAAGAGAGCAAAATAAACTAAACTAAGTACATCAGCTGGACCTTGTAAAACAAATAGAATACCCCTTCCTGTTATTATTTTACTAAAAGGTTGCCTAAGCCAGTATATAAAAACCTTATAACATCAGAATATTTGTTTTCATTAAAATTGGTGAGGTATACCAATGGCTTATGGTGCAGCTGTGCATAGTAGCCAATCAGCTTGTAAATTCAGTTGAGAAAACCCTAACCAAAAAAGCTAATGGGGCATTAAAGGTACCACACCATAACATTAGATAGTAAACACAATATAGTAAACACATATAGGCAATAGATAAAATTGAACGCCTTTTATTAGGTTAAAAAAACACCTATAGGTGGAAAAAGTTGATAAGCATATACATGAGAAAACATAAAATTACAATCATCAAAAAAAGAAAGGTTGCAGTAAGCTGTGGCTGACGTCCTAGACGCTAGGGCATCACGGGTGTCAACCGCAATGAACAGCAGCCACTAAATAAAAACAAAGAAACTATGGAGATAGTAAATAAAAATGCATGGCTAACAGTGGAGACTTAAATGGTATTGAAAAAACACCTAATTGGACAATGTCATAGGTGTTGAAAAGCAAATAATTGATTGATATCCACTTGAGACCATGAGAGGTCTTTTGCTTGTAAATTCCAACGCGTTTTGTGTGACGCAGCCCACTTCTTCAAGGAACAAAACAAAACATAAAACCCAGCTGATGATACCAGCACATTCCTGGATAGCTCCTGCTAGATATAGATCAATAGTATCTGGATGAATAAGGACAGACCTCCAACAGCCAAGTGATCATCAATTAATCAAACGTCCAAATATATTTGAAGACTTGCGGAAGACACAGTCATCATTCATTCAAACAAACCCGTATTGGCCAGGTACTAACTATCATCAGTTATAGTCAGGCAAAGACTGCTTTCCAAAAGTGAAGAAGAGAAGTCTTGTCGAAGGAGGGGGAGGAATAAACCTCAAATCCTCTTGCCTCCTGTGTAGTGCATTTTTATTCACTATTTCCATAGTTTCTTTGTTCCTATGTAGTGGCTGCTGTTCATTGCGGCTGACACCCGTGACGCCATAGCGTCTAGGACGTTGGCCACAGCTTACTGCGACCTTTCTTTTTTTGATGATTGTAATTTTAATGTTTTCTCATGTATATGTTTATCAACTTTTTCCACCTATAGGTGGTTTTTTAACTTAATAAAAGGTGTTCATCTTTATCTATTGCCTATACGTGTTTACTATGTTTCTAATGTTATGGTGTGGTACCTTTCAAGCCCCATTAGCTTTTTTGGTTAGGGTTTTGTCAACTGAATTTAGAAGCTGATTGGCTACCATGCACAGCTGCAGCATAAGCTATTGGTATACCTCACCAATTTTAATTAAAACAAATATTCTGCCGTTACAGGGTTTTTATATACTGGCTTAGGCAACCTTTTAGTAAAATAACAGGAAGGTGTATTCTGTTTGTTTTACAAAATGCAGCATGCAAGGTCCATCATATATGTTCCATATATAATGGAATACAACTGTGTTAAGAATAAGTACCATGAATAGCACGCAATTCCAAAACTTTGTGTTGCCTTATACCAAAAATAAAACCTTTCTAACCTCTGGGGAAAAGCAGAGATTTACTGATAGCTGTACTATAACATTTCATGCTATTAGGAAATGTCCCCGTGTAGACAGAGCATATCATATGGCTCAGTGGGACAGAATACACAAAGTTACATCTGGGGAAAAAAGGACAGTTTTTCACTGGTGTAGTCATTGTTTACATCCATATTTGTCCATTTTATTTACAAGTTACATTATTAGTCATCTGCAATGTAGGCATTACTGTATTTATCAACGTGTTTCATTGAAGAACTGCCTGTATTGCCCCACAACAACTGATAACATTCAGCTTACAGCCAATGTGATTGCTATATACAGAGAGTTCCTATGTACCATGCTGCTGAAACTTGCTCCTGTCATTTGTATCTATTATTGATGCATTAAAAAGTACAAACCTTGTTAAATGCCTACTTAATTCATGAACTTCCATTTCTGTACTTTTAAATTCATTCAGCTCTTTTCGTATGGCTGCCTGTAATGACAAGAGAGATCATGTTAATAAAGATTTCCCTTTTCAGCAGATTTATTACAAACATAAATACAGGCTCAGTTATGTGGCCAGTAAGCAGTAGAAATATATACCTGGAAAAAAAAATAACATTTTAAATGTAACTCTAAAACACGTGTGCATTTTCCTGTTTTGTCTCTTTAAAAATGCTGCAAAAATACAAAAGTACCAGCGTCTGGCTTTTTGGGAAAGTAAGTTAACGGCTTCATCATCTGTTCATTGAAGTCCACCCCTCCCATATTAAGGTTATAGTCGGGGACACAGAGGGGCTTCTCAACGACACCAGCTGCTGTGGCAATTTAGATGGTCGTGTCTGCCTGAATGGAACACAGGAAGAAAACATCCCATTTGTCCTTCCACATCACTGCGAGCAATTCATTATTTTTCAAGCAGTCTTTTTCCCCTCTTTCTAAGACAGGTATATACAAGCCGTTGGGGGAAACCCTGGCGATTAGGTCGCACAGTACCACATGTGCCAATTTCAAGATAGTATAAATGTCTAAATAGTGGTACGTAGAGGCGTAGCTGGGGGGTACATATATACCCGGGCGCCAAGGTACAGGGGCGCCAAAATGAGGCTTACGTTACATTATAATAAGTGAACAAGGGTAATAAATCAGTCACAAGATCACTGCAGCGGCTGCAGTAATCTGATACGTCTGCCATCCACAGTGATGATGCTGCCTGCCAGCCACTGCAGCCAGCCAAGATGCGGATTCTGCGTACAGCCGGTTCCATCTGCACGTATTGAGTGTTGATAAAAAAGTGGGCATATGTGACGAATCTACGACAGTGAGTCATGTAATATAATTTCTATAAATTTGCTTCTTTAAATACAATGTTTCATTAAAATTTAAATTGTTTTTCCTTATCCAATGTAATAGAAAAATGTGATTAAACGGGGAGGGGGGCTGGGGCGCCAATTTTATAGTTCGTCCCCGGGCGCAAAATATCCTAGCTACGCCTCTGGTGTTACGCTTGAATAAAAATTGTCCACATATATGTGGTACCCCATATGAAAAAAGGGTGACACCAAGTCCCAAACTATCTTACCACTGCTCCCCATGTATTCTGGACATCGGGTGGGTCCACGTGACTATCTCTTCCCTTGTAAATCCGAAAATTACATGTACAGTGAAGGAAATAAGTATTTGATTTAAGAGACTGCTTCTAACCTCAGCTGGTTACCTGTATGAAAGACACCTGATAGCCAGAAATCCTGCTGAATGATAGGGGATCAAATACTTATTTCCCTCATGAACATGAAAATCAGAGCATCATTTGTTAGACCAATTTCCTTCACTGTATGCCGCGATCCTACCAGAAATCAAGTGAGGTTCTAACTTCCTGTAGTAAGTACAACGTAGTGCCTCTGCTGCACTAAAATCCTCAACATTGTTGTCAGCTTGAGTTATCACCTGCTGGACTACAAAACCCCTCCCCTTTACGTCATGGATATGTAGAAGCAAAGCTATATGTCACTTTTGTCAGAAAGATATTCCCCTGGATTATCTGGCAGAATCAAGAAGTATTTTTCTGTGCTTGCAGAGACAAAACATGAAGAAATGTACATGTGTTGCAGAGATGTGCTATATAAGTTTTGTTTTAATTTACCCAAACCTATACTTAAAGCGGAGTTCCAGGGAAACTGTAAAAAAAAAAAAGCCAGAAGCTGCAAAAACTGTAGCTATAGTGGTGTACCCTCCTGCGCTCCAAATATAGTGTTTTAAATAATACACATAAAATATATGAACCCCAAACAGCTGCTAGCATTAAATCATATACCAGTGATCAAGTGAATATAAACCATATAAATGCTGCGCTACATTCAAAATTAAAGTGAATGTGGAATCCAATAATCTAAATCAATATAGTGACAATATTATGTAAATAAATATATAAGTGCTTAATGATAACAAAAATTATCACATCAAACACCCCAAAAAAATTATAAAAACACAAACTAAAATCTATACGCATGTGCATAAATTACACATACATATAGTTATATCACACGTGCAAATGTGAAGTGAAATAATGGCTTATTAAACGCACAGAAAAACAAATCTATAAATGTTGAAGGTGAAAAAATGTGAAGTGAAATAATTGCTTATTAAACGCACAGAAAGTCCAATTAAATGTTGAAGGTGAACAAAAATGATAACGGTGTTTCCAATAATACTGCAAAGTGACCACAGGTGAACCAAATCGTGCAGGTATCTGAGTGTAGATAGAGCTTGTGAATCCAACCACCTTCTGGATTAGCCTCTCACCTCATCCCTTCGACCCTTGCGGATCAAAGAGCAATAATGGATCCCTCTCACAGATCCTCCAGGCACCACAGCCTTCCAGAAACGCTTTTCAAATTTCAATAATCCCACTCAAGCTCTTCTCCAGGTATAGGTGAAACATCAATCCCTCAGAACAAAAAGAGGAATCCTCCCATAGTGTAGTATATTTATTTGTTTATACCATAGGAACATAGGAACATAAACTTGTAGGTAGAAAATTCCACTTACATAGCAGCCAGTCCACATGAGACCCTCATGCTCTCAGATGAGGATAAATCTGTGTTGTTGGGTGTACAGCTGAATAACAGGTGTACCAAGATGGCCGCCACGCCGGAAATACGTCACCGCGCTTACGCCGACGCGTTACGTCACAATATCACGTGACTTCATCAGGGCTGTCAATCACAGTGACGATAGCTCTTTATATACCCGGCCAGGATAGAGGGAACCACCCACATCAACATTCCATTCAGCCTAATCACAACTATACTTCCTGCAGCCATTAAACTGAAGACCACTGGGGACTATTATGCAAGGATGTCAGATTTACATCTATATTAGGCACATTTACACAGAAAAAAGAGGAATGTGTAATAATGCACCAGAGAAACATAGCAAAAATATAATCGATTCTGCAGCAGGCACATTTACACAGGGAAGAATATAATAATGTACCAACCTGCAATGTAGGTTATATTAAACAGAAACAACCTAATGCCCATTCCCTTTTATAATATTTTAATTAATTATTTAAAAAATATATAAAAATAAATAAAAAATATATATATAAAAAGGACCATATCTCACATAATTATAGACCAACAACTAATGATCCATAACCATGTATGCCAATATACAGCCCATACCTATTATTATATAAATACAATTAACACAAAACGGAAACATACATATACTTCTGCGTATAAGGACGCATACGTATATATATATAATCCTACAGATTAAATAATCATAAAAAAAATTAAAAATTAAATTAAAAGAAATATTTTAATATTTCATTAATAAGAATATTTTAATTATTTTTGAAATAATTTTTATATATAGAACAGAGAATATTAATTTTAGTTGATAACTACATCCTTCACCAGCACTTAAAGGACAACTCCGAAAAAAAACTCACACATATATATACTATCTGAAAGCATGAGTTTACATGATCAAAATTAAAAATAAAAATAAATATAAAAAATCTATACCCATAGCACCACCTCAAATTACCTCAGAAATCAGAAATAAAACAGTTTACATCAAACTCGATATTCAAACCATTAGGGAAATAAGTATGCATACTATAAATCCACTTGGATTCTAATTGACTCAAAGTGCGCACCTTATGACTGCCTCGCCAATGTCTCTTGTATTTTGTAATACCCCAAAATTTTAATTCACTAGGGTCTTTGTTGTGACATTTGGCAAAATGCTTAGAGACGCTATGCTTCGGGAACCCCTTCTTAATATTTTGTACGTGTTCCCGGAGCCTGACCCAAAGTGGTCGTTTAGTTCTCCCTATATATTGCATTCCGCAACTACATTGCAGCGCGTACACAACTCCCTCTGTCCTACAAGTAATACATTCTTCAATTTTAAATTCTTTCTTGCTCACAGATGAAGAAAAAGTCATCAATTTCTTATTCTTGCCTTTTGTAGCTTTGCACGCATAACAGGTTCTACATGGAAAAAACCCATTTATATCCAGAAAGGTGACATTCTTTTTATTGGGTGGATCAAGAACGTTTTTAACGATTTTATCTCTTAATGAAGGGGCTTTTCTATATCTGAAACTGAGGAAATCTGATATTATCTCTTTCAGGGCCGGATCAGCTTTCAATAATGACCAATTTTTTCTAAAGATAGTTTCCACTTTCTTATAATGGACATTAAAGTCTAAACATATTACAAGCTGATCTTTCTGTTTCTCATTTTTCTCACGATCTACCAGCAACACATCTCTATTAGTGTTCCCAACTTCTTGGATCGTGTTACTAATAGAATCTTGCTGATAACCTTTGGCTTTAAACCTCTGACCTAAATTCTGTGCTTGACTCATAAAGTCCTCCTGCATCGTACAGTTTCTCCTGAGTCTAATCATTTGACCTTTAGGTATGTTTAATAACCACGGCGGGAAGTGGCAACTGTCTCGAGGAATGTATCCATTCCTATCAACACTCTTAAAGAATGTCTTAGTAACAATATTGTTTTGTATGATGTTAATATCTAGATCTAGGAAGTTAATCCGCTCACGGCTATGTTCCCATGTAAGAACAATATTTTTATCATTCCTATTTAGATTCTCACAGAAACATAATAAATCTTCTTCTCTTCCCTTCCATATTAATATGATATCATCTATATATCTTTTAAACAAAATAAGTTCTTTCGGAGGACTCAAATAAACTGCCATCTCTTCCCAATGTGCCATGAACATGTTTGCCACACTGGGAGCAAAACGGGCTCCCATGGCCACACCCTTAATTTGATTATAAAACGTGTTCATATGCCAAAAATAATTATGTTTTAAACAAAATTCTAAACAGTCCAAAATATATTTTCTCTGCCCTCTTTTCAGATTTCAATATTTTCTTAAACCCCATTCCGTAGCTTCCATCCCTTCTGTATGACCAATGATCGTGTATAACGATGAGACGTCAGGCTCCGGGAACACGTACAAAATATTAAGAAGGGGTTCCCGAAGCATAGCGTCTCTAAGCATTTTGCCAAATGTCACAACAAAGACCCTAGTGAATTAAAATTTTGGGGTATTACAAAATACAAGAGACATTGGCGAGGCAGTCATAAGGTGCGCACTTTGAGTCAATTAGAATCCAAGTGGATTTATAGTATGCATACTTATTTCCCTAATGGTTTGAATATCGAGTTTGATGTAAACTGTTTTATTTCTGATTTCTGAGGTAATTTGAGGTGGTGCTATGGGTATAGATTTTTTATATTTATTTTTATTTTTAATTTTGATCATGTAAACTCATGCTTTCAGATAGTATATATATGTGTGAGTTTTTTTCGGAGTTGTCCTTTAAGTGCTGGTGAAGGATGTAGTTATCAACTAAAATTAATATTCTCTGTTCTATATATAAAAATTATTTCAAAAATAATTAAAATATTCTTATTAATGAAATATTAAAATATTTCTTTTAATTTAATTTTTAATTTTTTTTATGATTATTTAATCTGTAGGATTATATATATATACGTATGCGTCCTTATACGCAGAAGTATATGTATGTTTCCGTTTTGTGTTAATTGTATTTATATAATAATAGGTATGGGCTGTATATTGGCATACATGGTTATGGATCATTAGTTGTTGGTCTATAATTATGTGAGATATGGTCCTTTTTATATATATATTTTTTATTTATTTTTATATATTTTTTAAATAATTAATTAAAATATTATAAAAGGGAATGGGCATTAGGTTGTTTCTGTTTAATATAACCTACATTGCAGGTTGGTACATTATTATATTCTTCCCTGTGTAAATGTGCCTGCTGCAGAATCGATTATATTTTTGCTATGTTTCTCTGGTGCATTATTACACATTCCTCTTTTTTCTGTGTAAATGTGCCTAATATAGATGTAAATCTGACATCCTTGCATAATAGTCCCCAGTGGTCTTCAGTTTAATGGCTGCAGGAAGTATAGTTGTGATTAGGCTGAATGGAATGTTGATGTGGGTGGTTCCCTCTATCCTGGCCGGGTATATAAAGAGCTATCGTCACTGTGATTGACAGCCCTGATGAAGTCACGTGATATTGTGACGTAACGCGTCGGCGTAAGCGCGGTGACGTATTTCCGGCGTGGCGGCCATCTTGGTACACCTGTTATTCAGCTGTACACCCAACAACACAGATTTATCCTCATCTGAGAGCATGAGGGTCTCATGTGGACTGGCTGCTATGTAAGTGGAATTTTCTACCTACAAGTTTATGTTCCTATGTTCCTATGGTATAAAACAAATAAATATACTACACTATGGGAGGATTCCTCTTTTTGTTCTGAGGGATTGATGTTTCACCTATACCTGGAGAAGAGCTTGAGTGGGATTATTGAAATTTGAAAAGCGTTTCTGGAAGGCTGTGGTGCCTGGAGGATCTGTGAGAGGGATCCATTATTGCTCTTTGATCCGCAAGGGTCGAAGGGATGAGGTGAGAGGCTAATCCAGAAGGTGGTTGGATTCACAAGCTCTATCTACACTCAGATACCTGCACGATTTGGTTCACCTGTGGTCACTTTGCAGTATTATTGGAAACACCGTTATCATTTTTGTTCACCTTCAACATTTAATTGGACTTTCTGTGCGTTTAATAAGCAATTATTTCACTTCACATTTTTTCACCTTCAACATTTATAGATTTGTTTTTCTGTGCGTTTAATAAGCCATTATTTCACTTCACATTTGCACGTGTGATATAACTATATGTATGTGTAATTTATGCACATGCGTATAGATTTTAGTTTGTGTTTTTATAATTTTTTTGGGGTGTTTGATGTGATAATTTTTGTTATCATTAAGCACTTATATATTTATTTACATAATATTGTCACTATATTGATTTAGATTATTGGATTCCACATTCACTTTAATTTTGAATGTAGCGCAGCATTTATATGGTTTATAAAAACTGTAGCTGTTGATTTTTAAAAAACAGCCACTCACCTGTCCTTCGATCCCACTGTGTCCACCCCACAGCCAGTTTCACTGGCCGCCCTGTTTTCCAGTGCCGACATCTTCAGTGTGGGCACCCAACTGTGACAGCTTGCGGCTTCAGAATGTGCGAGTAGCGCTGCGTTTTCTGAATGGTCTCGTAGTCTTTTGGGAGCTGTCGTGTCCCAGAAGACTATGGGAAGGGAGGGGGGAGGACAACTTCTACTCGCCTAGGCGATCGCAGCGGAAGTTGGAGTGGGTACCTGTCCATTTCAGTCCTTAAAGTGGAACTTCCCCTTTTTGGTGGAGCTCCACTTTAAATAATTGCAACTAATCAGAAATGACATTTTGCAGTTCTATCTACATTACATAATGAAAGATTAAATCTGGTTGCAGTCTGTAAGTGAATAACACAACTTTTTGTAATGGCTTATTAACCATTTTAGCTCTTACACCAGAACACCCCTTATCTAGTGATGTAATTTGTGTGTGGTCCCTATGTTTCCTGACACACGGCAGATGGAGCAAGGACTCACTTGTGCCCGCTCCATTACCTGATTCATCTATGGCGGGAGGAGAGATCGTCATTACAGCGGAACTTCACCTGAAACTATCCCCACCCCCACAGTTGATTTTTTTTTTTTTCAGGGAGTGGGTACCTAGTTTTCACAGGTCCCATTTCGCTTGACTCATCCATGTGAGCCTAGTGGTGGAAGCCCCCCCCCCACATGCAACACATCACATGTCCCAGGAGGATGCAGGACCTTTTGGAAAGTGCAGCTCCTCACGCACATGTGCAGTACAGAGCAGGCTGTGAGCCAGCAAGAAATCACAGCCTGCTTCCCACAACAGTCAACATGATGACGCTGGTGCCCTACAGACCGACAAAGAACTAGCCCAGATGAAGACAGCACTGATCCCTGGACAGGTAAGTGTCTTTTTATTAAAGGTGAGCAGCTACAGTATTTTTAGCTGCTGGATTTTGTTTGTTTATTTTTTTTTTAACAAGACCAGAACGCCTCTTTAAGCAATAGTGTAGCCATGTATCATTGCATTGAATTTACTATATCATTCATATTTAGATTAATATAACATGTATCCCTATTTCCCCTTATTAACACTCAGTTAACCATAACCAGTCCTAGTTATCCCCTTCCTCCCCGTAGATTTTATTTTTCTGCTGTTTTTTTTTCACTTCTATTTCTTCAACCATAAAGATTTATATTTTTCAGTTTTTTATTTGTTTTGTTTATATTTTCAGTGTTGCTTTAAAAAAAAATTACAAAATTGAAAAAAACAGCAAGTTTTCCTTTACAAAATATTTTTGCTGTGCTTTTCACCAGAGACACAATTGTAGCATCAATTTTAACAGGACAGGTTACAGAATAAAATGTAAATTTTTTCATTACAGCCAAACTACTTATGTATTATTTTATTATCCTATGTAATGACAGAGTTATCACCAAAAAAACAGGGTACATAGTAAAAATGTAAAAATTGCTCAGATCCATAAAGGGAATAAAGGTACAAGGACAGACATGGATAACCTTTATCTTTAAGTCATTTTTGGGAGAATTCTCATATTCTTCAATAACACAATCATCAGTCCCTCCCCTCATGCCAGGGTGCTAGGTGTAATCCTAGACTCCCATCTGTCCTTTCAGCCCCAAATCCAATCACTGTCCAAATCTTGTAGACTTCACCTCCGCAACATCTCCAAGATACGCCCGTTCCTAATCTCGGAAACCACTGAGCAACTTTTTCACTCCCTGGTTATCTCTCGCCTTGACTATTGTAACTCCCTCCTCATTGGCCTACCTAATTGCAGGCTATCCCCTCTTCAGTCTATCATGAATGCTGCTGCCAGAATCAGCCACCTTACTAACCGTTCTGTATCTGCCACTCCTCTCTGCCAATCCCTCCACTGGCTTCCCATTGCATATAACATATAAAGCCATTTATAGCTCTGCCTTAAATTACAAAACCAATCTTGTCTCCAAATATCACCCAAACTGTCCTCTCCGCTCCTCCCACGACCTCCTGCTCTCTAGCTCCCTTGTCTCCTCCTCCCATGGTCATCTCCAGAGCTTTCCCCATCCTCTGGAACTCTCTAGCCCAATTTATCAGACTATCGCCTACTCTGCTCACTTTTAGGCGATCTCTGAAAACCTATCTCTTCAGGAAAGCCTATCCTGCCCTCAGCTAATAATGGAATCTTCTACTCCTCCTACCATTCCATCCCCCACAGTTACAACCTTTTGTACCATTAGCCCCTTCCTCTTAGATTGTAAGCTTCAAGGAGCAGGGACTTCCTAACCCTCTTGTATTGAACTGTATTGTTGCTGTATGGTCTCCCGTTATATTGTAAAGCGCTGAGCAAACTGTTGGCGCTATATAAATCCTGTACAATAATAATATTAATGAAATAATCATAATATTGTAACATGCAGTTTCCCAAAGCAAGTGCAATAGAAAAAAAGGACAATTGAAAGTTTTCAGACAGAATAACCGTTACCTCTGGCAGCTGTTTTAGTGCCGTGCTGGTAGGGAGGTGGTTACTATAATGGCAGATCATATTTTAACAGCCTGCGTTACTTAATATTTCCCAGCGATTTTCATGGCAATGCTCTGTTACCCAGAGAACCTAAACTTTGTTAAAACTGAATAAATAATTTGCTAAAGTTACAAACTTTGTCAGCGGCTGTGAGACGAGTCCACGGCTTATCCGCCCTCCTGTCGTAGTCCTGTGCATCTGCTACCTCCACATAATCACTGAAACGTATCAGGATCTTCTTCTCACGTAGCTCCTCGACTGTTGGCCTCTGACTGAGCTGCAGATGAAAAAATGTATTGTTAAAGTGTAACACAGATTTTAATCAGCAACTACAGTATGAAGCTAGATTAGGAGTGGATATTAGGTTTACATTAGGTCTATGTAACTTGCACAAGCCCGGGTGCACTGATGACAGGTCTCATAGCAGAGCTGTACATCACACAGAAAATTTCAGCTTCAGCCTTCATCCTTTCAGTACACAAAAGGGTCCTGTTGCATGCAATCAATCTGCATCACTCAGAGTTCTATATTTCTGCTGGCCGTGTCTAGTGGTGGTACATCTATTAGTAATTAGTTTACTTGGCCATATCCCACAACAAAGAGATATCGGGAGGTCTTCCTTTCATAATACACCAGGTGCCACACCTTAGGTCTAAATGCTAGAGAATAACATATAACTGCCCAACCTTTAAATAACAGGAAGATGTTCCTATGAATCCATTCTGCAACCTGAGTTATAAAATCGAAGGGGGACTCTATGAACGTTTTGCAGCAGGGCAACTGTTGTGACCCTTGTTCCTATTTCACTAACTTGTATCAAAATTAATAATTTGGAAGTCTAAACCTGACTGGGCACAACGTAACAATCAACCTTCAGCTTTCTCTTCTGCTGGTCAGCACTGAAGTGCGGGTCTCTGGTGTGTACACCTGTCCTCCATTTACCACCTTTAAAGCAAACTCAGGACCTTTACCAAACCCCTGTCAACAAGTTTGACTTTTTGCTCATGCCTTGGTTAGAAGACTGTTTTGACTCTGAATTTTGTCTTACTGTGTGAGCCCTAATTTATTTATTTTGTTTAAAAATGTTACTAAACCCAGAACCCTGCATTCATTATATCTAGTCTCCCACAGTACACAGAACATCGAAATGCAATTATTATAGTAAATATAAACTGCTATATACCCTTTCTCATCAGCATTTAGAGCAATCTTGTGACTTCTATCAGTGTCTAAGATCAAGTGTAGTATCTGTTCTTATCAGTGTCCAGTGGGGGTGCTCCCGACCATTCTAGTTTACGGGGATGGTTGTTGTATAGTACCCTCACTGGTATGATGGGGGTCCGGAAGGCTAGTACCGGAGGGACAGAAACCAGGGAGCGCCATGATTCGTTCTGGGGCCTTGGGAGTAATTCCTCTGGGGAGACCGGAAAGACCCAGTACCTCCTGATCTGAACATGCTACTTTGGTCTGGCCTGGGGCTGGGGACGCAAAAAGTCCGCAAACTCAGTGCCCCCTGGGGAAGACGCTCCCAGGGGTGTCACTAGTAACACTTGGGTGTGGGACCCCACGGTGTGAAGATGACACATGGCCACTGTTTTTCACTTCTTTTTGCACAGCGCCCTAAGGACCAGGTCTTTTTGGCTAAGTCCGGGGCAATTTTTGCTACAGGCCTCAGGGCCTGGTCTGTGCACTATTAGGCACGGTACCACTTTTTTATTTTCTATTTATTTACCACTCCCACGTTTTGTCACTTTTTCTGTTCTTATGTGTGTGTTTTTCACGGATGGAGGGTGTGGGTCCTCGGGCCTTACCTGAAGTCTAGGGGGAGGATGTGTGGCCATACGGTTCCTTCCTCCCCTGATCCCTAGGGGGTTTTCTCTTCGGGAGAACCCTCTCGCCTAGTACTGGATGTCCGGCTTCGGCTGGGCATAAGGAACGGTGGTCCACCAGGCCTTTTGGCCAGGAGGATCAAATGGGAACCTTGTCCCTGTCAGGAGCTTCGTGCCCCGGGGGATCAGGCGAACGGTCCAACCCTTTCGGGGGTAGGACAAACACACCCCTAAGTGCACGTTTTTCGTGTGGTGTTTTGCACTTGCACTTTTTTGCGGACACTTACGGGTTTTTTCGATATAGTTGCACGTTTGCGGACTTAAAAAGAAAAAAATCAGTGTCCAGCGGAGCACTGGTTTAAAGCTTGTAGAAGTTTTCATTCTCTCCTATGAGGCTGCACTATCCCTGACCCTCTGTCTGGACAGCGCTGATTGGCCAAGGAAACCAGAAGCTGTTACCAGTGCTGGGCAGAGTTCAGTAATGTTTGTCCCTGTTGCCAGCTCTTCTCCTGGAGGCTCACCAGGTTGTTTTTCCTCAGCAGAGAAGTCATATCCCCAGTCTCTGGAGTTTCCACTGCTGATTCTTGGGCATGCTGCTGAACATGTTTTAGCAGTTGTCTGTATGCCCTTTCCAGATCTTGTTCTTTCATCAGCAGGTATTCCAGATCTGGTTCAAGCTCTGAGATCCTTGTGAGACCAAACATAGACTCTCTGTCTTCTCGCAGGTCCTCAAGGGTAGGTTCTCCTTCATCGCCAAACACAAAAAGATCTGTAAGGCTCTCCCACAGCAATCCAGGACCACCAAAGTCATATCCCTCCAGAGAGCACTTTGTTGACACCCCTTTAATATTTCTGCTCTGCATACCATTGCAGAGCCCGATATCTGTTGTCCAGCTCGATCTCCTGCTGGACCAGCCTGTCCAACTCAGTCACCCATTGCTCCTGGGATCGCTCTCCCAGGAATGGCATCCGTAACATCCGATGGTCCCTGGCCCGTTCCCCTGAGGTTGGACAGCACTTGCTCTTGTCCATACCAGCAACCTGGAGGGCTCCTCTCCAAAGCACATCCCAAATCTGCTGCCTGAGCTCCAGGTACTGATCCACATACACAGTCCTGGGGTATGCTGCAAGAACGGTCTGTAGCAGCCCTGGGAACTCTGATGCCAGGTCCATATCTCCACTGGGGTGACTGACGTCTCCTTTCCTGATCTTGAATCCTGGTGGTGGTTTGGACGTGTTCACAGCCAGGAAGCACAATCCCACCGCTTGCCACCAATGTAACGGAACCGGCCCCAGACTGCACTAGGGTATTTCCGTTAGACTCCCGCTTCCCTGTACGAACACAGATCCACAGACACCACCGCTGACCAAACAGGAAATAGACTGCTTTATTTTAACACAGACACAAGATATATACATTCAAGGAAACAACCCCCCTCCTTGCATAAGGACACAGGGCAGGGCAAACCAAATCTAGCAACAAGAGACACATCAACAGACAGTCCCATTAGGAGGGCTGCTGGAAAACACACCCCTCCCCCCCACCAAGCCAATACACAAACACATACATCTCATAATAGTTTGCTCACAAGCAAGACACACAATAGAACAATGGGACTGCATGGCAGTAAACAATGAACAACCCCCACATCTCACCTATACATGTCTACACAATATCAGGACATTCCACCCTGTACCCCTAACAGGTACAGGGTGACTTACACATAATAGGGATATGGGGAGCTGAGACAGGGGTCTCCCCATCTCTCCAAAGGGGGCTGTGTTCCATGGGCCCCCCACCCAAAGTCACTCCCGTCACACCTCCGTACTGCACCAATGTTCCTTCTAACCTTTTGTTTTTCCTGCTAGCAAAGCCACCTCCTCTTTGCTGCAGGTAAAGATACATGATCGAGCTTTGCAGAAGGGCTACCTAAAAATGGACAATGTAGACTACACTATCTCTGTTTCTTATACTTTGCATAAAATGAATTAAAACTCATTGTCAGGTATGGATTTTTTTTACATACAGTCATGGCCGAAATTGTTGGCACCCTTGATATTTTTCCTGAAAATCAAGTATTTCACACAAAAAAGGTATTGCATTAACACATGTTTTGCTATACACATGTTTATTCCCTTTGTATGTATTGGAACAAATATAAAACAGAGGCAGAAAAGCAAATATGACATAATGTCACACAAAACCCCAAAAATGGGCTGGACAAAAGTATTGGCACCCTTAACTTAATATTTGGTTGCACACCCTTTGGAAAACATAACTGAAATCAGTCGCTTCCTATAACCATCAATAAGCTTCTGACACCTCTCACCCGGAATTTTGGACCACTCTTCCTTTGCAAACAGCTCCAGGTCTCTCTTATTGGAAGGACACCTTTTCCCACAGCAATTTTAAGATCTCTCCACAGGTGTTCAATGGGATTTAGATCTGGGCTCATTGCTGGCCACTTCAGAACTCTCCAGCGCTTCTTTGCCATCCATTTCTGAGTGCTTTTTGACGTATGTTTGGGGTCATTGTCCTGCTGGAAGACCCAGGATCTTGGACGCAAACCCAGCTTTCTGACACTGGGCCCTACAGTGCGACCCAAAATCCTTTGGTAATCCTCAGATTTCATGATGCCTTGCACACAGTCAAGGCACCCAGTGCCAGAGGCAGCAAAACAACCCCAAAACATCATTGAACCTCCACCATATTTTACCGTAGGTACTGTGTTTTTGTTCTTTGTAGCCTCATTCCGTTTTCGGTAAACAGTAGAATGATGTGCTTTACCGAAAAGCTCTATCTTGGTCTCATCTGTCCACAAGACGTTTTCCCAGAAGGCTTTTGGCTTACTCAAGTACATTTTGGCAAACTGTAGTCTTGCTTTTTTATGTCTCTGTGTCACAGTGGGGTCCTCCTGGGTCTCCTGCCATAGGGGGCGTTTCATTTCATTTAAATGTCGACGGATAGTTCGCGCTGACACTGATGCTCCCTGAGCCTGCAGGACAGCTTGAATGTCTTTGGAACATGTTTGGGGCTGCTTATCCACCATCCTATTCTGTTGCAATCTTTCATCAATTTTCCTCATCCGTCCAACCAGGGAGATTAGCTACAGTGCCATGGGTTGCAAACTTCTTGATAATGTTGCGCACTGTGGACAAAGGTCTAGTTCTCTGGAGATGGACATTGAGATTGTTGATATTTTGCCACAATTTTGGTTCTCAGGTCCTCAGACAGTTCTCGTCTCCTCTTTCTGTTGTCCATGCTTAGTGTGGCACAGACAGACACACAATGCAAAGGTTAAGTGAACGTCTCTCCTTTTTATCTGCTTTCAGGTGTGATTTTTCTATATTGCCCACACCTGTTACTTGCCCCAGGTGAGTTTACAGGAGCATACACATGCTTGTAACATTCTTATTTATCCGCAGTTGTGAAAGGGTGCCAATACTTTTGTCCAGCCCATTTTTGGAGGTTTGTGACATTATGTCGAATTTGCTTTCTTTCTCTCCCTTTTTTTGTTTTACCCAATACACACAAAGGAATGTGTATAAAAACATGTGTTAATGCAATACGTTTCGTGATACATGATTTCCTGAGAAATTCAAGGGTTTTCGGCCATGACTGTAGTTACAACATTTCAGTGTGGACTTATGTAAATGTACATATTCTATACCTGGCCGATCCTTGAGGTAGCTCAGAATTATTGTACTAGCCCTTGTTCAACACTGGCTCTGCTCAGAGAATGCCTTGCATTTTTCTCAATGCATGCAAAGCACTCTGTAATGGCCTGTACACACGATAAGAAAATTGTACGAAAAAGTTTGCGGAACCACTGATCGAACCATTTTCTCTTTGTTGATGAGCAGGATGTTTTAACCGATAACGATATTGTAAACGAAAAAATCTGGTTGAACAACAGTGAAAAATGTTGTCATTTCGCATACAAACGACTGATTTTCTATGCGGTGGTATGACAGTCGTACGAAAAAAATCTATCAAGCGCTAACATGCATGAGCGGAAACAGAAGATGACCTGGATGTTTATGTCCAAGGAATCTTCCTAAACACGAACGAAAAATCCAAATGTTAAAAGTAGATTGGCCTAATGAGATAATGAAACCAGAATTCTGCAGATTATATTTTATGTATCACTATTTATGTATATAATGTAATAAACTATATTATACTCATTGCTGTTAATTGTTGTGTATATCGCTCGCTCTGGCCGGAAGGGCGTGGCTACAAGGTCACACGCACACTGCATCACTTCCATTTGTACGGAAGAAGTCAACACTATGTATTGCCCGACTAACAATTTTTTTAGATAGGTTAATGTGGGCCACGATTTCGACCAACGAACGAACACCTCTCGATCGACGGTTGACCGATTTTCGTGTATTCCCACCTTTACTGGATGAGGTGAAGAGGCAGGGCAGTGATGTCATAATCTCCACTTTGCCCCATCAGAGAATGCTTTGTATCCCTTGAGAAAAAAAACATTCTCAGATCCGTGCCAAGAGAGGAACCACCTGTGATCAATATGTAGCAGGGCAGCCACTCGTCACAGGAACCAGAAGACAGTGAGGATCCTTGTAGTAGCAGTGGCTACAACAGTGATTCTCTGCTTCCACAGGGATTTATGAGGTATGAAATGTGCATACCTACATTGGTCCAAGCTGGACCAATAATTACGCAAAAATCTCCATACCTGAAATTCTGCTTTAATGGTGTGTGTATTTTATTACTTTTTACTGCTCTGCTCTTGTTTTATTAGATTAAAGCATTTCTACAGGCTGAAGGTTTTTTCTCGATCCAGCGATGTGCATGAAAGCAGAGGCTCTCTCAGCTTTCTCTATCCCCACTGGCTCAGACACAGCAGCAGCATCCATTGGCTCCCGCTGCTGTCAATCACAGGCAGTGAGGCAAGTGCAGGGACAAGCCGTGCTGTGTGTGTCTTATAAACACACAGAACTGGCTTGGGAGCGAGCATGCATGAGTGATCCCATAGCAACCGTCTTGCTATGGGGGCACTGGATGGGGGAGGAGCACCAGTGGGGGACCCGAGAAGAGTAGGATCGGGGCTACTCTATGAAAAACCATTGCACAGAGCAGTAACTTTGTTCTTTTTTTTAAAAAAAAGTTTAAAAAAACCACTTTCATTTCAGATTTTTTTCGTCTGGATTTGTAACTTGTTTTTCCATGCACTGATTGAAAAGGCTTTGTGTGTGACAGAAAGTTGGCTTTATTTGGTAAAAAAGCCAGAAAGAACTAGTTAAAACGTGTTATATATAATTGCATGTTACAGTTTCCTAACAAAAATGTTCAAAGGTATTGTTGAATTGTACAGCATGCTTTTTATTTTCTTCATTCTTAACATAGCTTCATTTCCATATTTGTTGCAGAAAGCCTTTGAAGTTCCTTACTATGAGATCCAGCAATTTTGAGCCGCCAGTTTTCAGTCTGGAGGAAGGTCAACCCCACTGATGCATGGCACATAGCAATCTATTTTAGTCAGCAAATTTACCACAATATAAAGGCAAACTACAGCCAGGACAAACAAAACACCACATTAAAGCTGTGAGAAAAAAGTTTGGGTACCCTTAGGGATTTCTGTTTGCATTTCTCCTAAATTGTGATCTGATTGTCATTTGAGTCATAATATTAAACATGGCCATTTTGTCTATGGCTGACAACACGCAGAGACTGCCGCATGTTTAATGATGGTTAGTATCACCAGGGTTAAAAAAAAAAGGTTACACTGCAAAGCAATGTTTTTTTAGTGCATCTGCACCACTGTCGACACATTGCAGAGAATAACTGCTTAAAATCAAATTCTCGTCTATTCATTTAAGGACACAGTGTAGATCAGGGGTGTCAAACTAGTGGCCCTCCAGTCCCATCATGCCTCTGCCTTTGGGAGTCATACTTGTAACTGTCAATCTTGCAATGCCTCATGGGACTTGTAGTTTGGCAACAGCTGGAGGGCTGCCAGTTTGACACCCGTGGTGTAGATCATTAGATCCTAACCATTAGGTTCCATCTTCAGGAGTAGGATGCTAGTTAGAAAACAAAAAAAAAAACAGACCAGGGGTTGCTCCTGCTATAGGCCAAACCCCCCCATCTGCTGGAAGCAACTATATTTTTTGGCAAGCGTTAAGGATTTAGAACCTATGCTTTCTACTGTGAATTTTAGTTCCCGGATTCTCTTTTTTTTTTCCTGTACCATTTTTGTACTTTTTTCACTAAAGGATCTTCAATCAATTTGCTGACTGGGTGACAGATCCTGTATTTTCCCCATGGTCTATAGCACTCTGTGGGGCATTCCCCAATGGAACAGTTGTCTTCAAATCACTTATTGCAATTCCTTGCCTCTAAGCTGTAGTAAGGTGGTTTAGAAGGGCCGTTCATGTAGGTTTTCTCATGTTGCAGCCCCCTCCTTATAAAAGTCAGTGTTCCCAACAGCCTTTTGTCAGTCTGTGTTGAAAAGACGTGTGTGAATGAGGCCACCACTCACGTTTGGAGAAGGCGTTCAGCCTCCTGACAATTTGTACACCACATGGACCTCAACAAATTACTTTAAACTGACTAAAAAACTCCAAATCACTTATTGCACTTTCTTGCCTCTAAGCTGTAGTAAGGTGGTTTAGAAGGGCCGTTTATGTAGGTTTTCTCATGCTGTAGCCCCCTCCTTATAAAAGTCAGTGTTCCCAGCAGCCTTTTGTCAGTCTGTGTTGACAGGACCTGTGTGAATGAGGCCACCACCCACGTTTGGAGAAGACCACTCAGCCTCCTGGCAATTTGCACACCACATGGACCTCAAGAAATTACTTTAAATTGACTAAAAAACTCACTACAGCTTAGAGGCAAGGAAGTGCAATAAGTGATTTGGAGACAACTGTTCCATTGGGGAATGCCCCACAAAGCACTATAGATCACTCTAGAAATAGATGGTCATTGGCTAAGGGTGAGTTTTAGTCCATGTGAGGCACGTTGTTGAGCACAGTGATTTGACTGAAGAGATTAAGCACCTCAAGTTGAGCACAAGCATGTGTTTCACTGTTTGGGACTATTAAAGGCAATTTATGTTGTATGTTAAATGTTTAAAACATGCATGTGATTATATGGTTAATACTGTTGCGCAGTCCGCTCTGTATTCAGCTATATATGTATTTTAGGACTGCTGCAATAGTCTAATTTATTTATTTATTTTGTTTGTTAAGTGTTTCATGTCCATCAGCGCATGAGCGCTAATCAAAAATACATTGGTTGAAGGCAGCTTGCCTCAGGAAATGGTGCTGTTGCGCTCCGTGGAAGGTCACATTAGAAATGATTTCCAGGTGGAATTGACAGAATATTGTTCAAACCTATGCCATTACACAATGGGTGTATCCATTGCCAGTCATCACTCTACAAAAGTGGTAAGTATATCATGGGACTTGACCATCAGTGTGAATGAGGCCACCACTCACGTTTCTCAGATTTGTAGGGCATCCACTTGATCATCAGTTCATTACTCTATAGAGTTTTATAACAAAGACAGGCATCCTTGCTTGGGAAGCTTTTATTTTATGCCCAATCCTCTTGTTTTTGGTATAGCCCAATGGTTAGAACTGAATGATCTATACTGTGTCCTTCAGTGAATAGAAATGAAAATAGTATTTTTGTACTTTAAAATTCTTTTCTTCATATCGTTAAAGTATGTAGCACCTGCCCCTGGCCTGTTTGACTATTTCTAATGTTGGAGTAGTCTCACTGTACTGCTTTGTGTTCTAGTGTTTTCTACCTAGTGTCCGACACTTGCAAGTGGCACTATAACCTAGTGAGTATGATCTAATTATCTATGCGCTCTTTTTCAATAAACATGGAAGAAATTCTGTAATTTTACAGTGAGTATAAAAAAAAATCAGTTTTTTTTTTGTTCGAATTGGGTTTTATTCAGGAAACACACAATAGTTGCATCCAGTAAAGGAGATGTGCAATAAGTGTCAGTTATTGACATATACTGTGAAACATCACAAAAGTAACAGTGCATAGCAAGGATGACCTAAGGGAGCATTTCAGGCAATTACCAGTTCCAGTTCCAGAATTTCAGGCAATGATCAAGCGTATGGTCCTACCTTGCGTGTTAGCCTCCTCTTTATCTCTCTTTTTTCCTCTTGCTCTTCCTGTTCATTACGGGCTGTAAAATAGAAATATTTGAGAATGTTGTGATGTATATATATATAGATAAATATAATTTAAAATAATGATAATAATATTATTAATGATGGTGATGAATTGAATTATTTTTATTTTAAATTATATTTATCTATATATATGTATATGTGGGTATATATTTTATATATATACATATATATTTTTATCATGTTATGTTTTATCGATAGTCTGACAATTAGATATTACACTTTGTTGACACCTTGACCCCCCCTCCCAGCCTGTGACTGCCCAACCCAGAGGGGAGGGTCAATATTTCAGTCCTGGGACATAAAAGGGAGCGATCACTCTCAGTCCAGTCAGCTCTGATGAAGAAGGTTTGGCCTTCGAAACGCGTCAGCTGAACTGAGTGTCTACCCCCATGATGGGACTCGCGCTGGCTCTCTATCTTTAAAGTCCCTGTGAGGACTTACATGCCTGATTTTATTCGCTGTTTGTGAGTACCTTTCTTATTAATAAATTTTTGTTTACTGAGGTAATGCGCAAGGTTTGTGCACTTCTCCTTTTTATTTTGCTTTGTAGTGTTGGTCGGGCTTCCCCAGCCTTGTTTGGAGCCGCATAACCTTTGATGCACTGGTGGTCGCTGTTTTCCAGTTCTGGTTCCACCTATTTGCCACCCGCCTGGGTCCTAGAGCGCAGAAGAATTAGTGTTTGGCCTAATAAATAAATGTCCATAGCCTGGCCACATGTCCACTTTAAGTAAAAAATGCATAAATTACATACCATATGATCCTGGCTATATTTATACATAAAGCTGCTATAGGCACACATGATAAGGCTCTTTTGTACAAGCTTCACCTCTTTTGCCATCTGATTCTAGTTTAGGAAAAACAATTGCAAGAATGCACTATTGGAGGTAACATGCAGCCAGCTTAGAGTGTGGAACAACATTTCAACAGTAAAGGCCTTCAAACAAGAGAAATGAGAAATGGTTTCATGTTTTCCTGAACAATAGTGAGTCTTCTGACACCACTAAACATCCCTGCATACTCCCCACACTGTTTTCTTGCTGAAAAAAAAAATCCAAAGTGGACTGAAGAAGGAAACAAAAAAAAAGTTATTATTTGTACGTTTTTAGTCTTGGTGAAGCACCTTCTAACCCTATTACCCCAGGCTCTGGCCCATCACTACCATTATTGCAAATACAACCATATATTTGTAATAACTACTTTAATAAAGCTAGGTCAGTCCTACACAATCCGGCCCGTCACTTCTCTTGTGCCTTCAGCTGACAGGACATTCTTCTTCATACCCGCTCACAATTCAGTGTATACAGTCTACCACAGAGAAAAAGTCCCACTAAGCATTTATTCTGATTGACAGTTTGGTGATGATTGGATGAGGCATTGTAGGAGTGCACTACTGTCTGAAGGTCAATGAACTTATGTTCACTATAAAAAGTCATGGGTACGTGTAAGCACTGAACCCAGATAGCAGATGGTAGAAAAGAATGTTCTTGAAAAAAAGCCCTTAACAAAAAAAGCATAAAAAATTAATATAATATACATGCAAAGTACTGCAAAACTTACGTTTCAAAATATTTCTTTGCTCCAACTCTTCAGCTGTTGGCCTTTGGCTCAATCGCCTACGAAAAAAGGTAGATATCTTTTGAACCATTTTTTCCTACCGAATATAGTCATTTAATGCTTACATGCCTCGTTGTTCTAACGTTTACTGAAGCTGAATAGCTTTTGCACACAGGAAGTGGCATTACAATGCACAGAGCTAACATTATCAGAAGAAGAAGAAACCAACACAGGTTATTAAGTCATCTTGAATTGGGCCATCAGAACTGATGTGTAAACACACCGTTTTACACCACTTCCTTTTTATTTACAAACCTCCGGTTAATCATATGTTCACTATACAATGAACTGGAATAGTAAAAACCTGACTCATAAATGCAATGAGAAAAGTCATGCGAACCCTTCTGTATATATATATATACAGTTGTGACCAAAATTATTCAACCCCCAATGCTGTAAAGGGGTTTAGGGACTATAGTGTACATTTGGAATTGTATTCAGAATCAAATCCTACAAGGACGTTGTAACTACCCAAATGCAACTAAAATGACATCAATTGTTTATGTAATACAGTAGTAAATGGTTCTTATGTGGTTTCTTCATTGCCACAATTATTCAACCCCTTAAAGACTACCACTCTGAAGAACAGAGGTTCATACAGGTGCTTTCCATCAGGTATTGAAAACACCTGTGGATGTCACCGAGCAGCAATCAAGCATAATAAGCACCAATTAGGCAGCTTTAAAATGACTGTGATACTCAGCTCCTTCTAGACATTTACTGGTGTGGTTACAAACATGGTGAAGGCAAGAGAATGGTCCAGGAAGACAAGAGAAGAGGTGATTTCTCTTCACAGGAAGGGCAATGGCTATAAGAAGATTGCAAAGATGTTAAACATACCAAGAGACACCTTAGGAAGCATCATTCGCAAATTCAAGGCAAAGGGCACTGTTGAAACGCTACCTGGTCGTGGCAGAAAGAAGATGCTGACTTCGACTGCTGTGCGCTACCTGAAGCGTAGAGTGGAGAGAAGTCCCCGTGTGACTGCTGAGGAACTGAGAAAAGATTTGTCAGATGTGGGTACAGAAGTTTCAGCCCAGACAATAAGACGCACACTGCGTAATGAAGGCCTCCGTGCCAGAACTCCCAGGCGTACCCCCTTGCTGTCTCCAAAGAATAAGAAGAGTCGACTGCAGTATGCCAAAAGCCATGTGGACAAACCACAAAAGTTGTGGGATAGTGTTCTGTGGACTGATGAAACAAAATTAGAACTGTTTGGGCCCATGGATCAACGCTATGTTTGGAGGAGGAAGAACAAGGCCTATGATGAAAAGAACACCTTGCCTACTGTGAAGCATGGTGGAGGGTCAATCATGCTTTGGGGCTGTTTTGCTTCTGCAGGTACAGGGAAGCTTCAGCGTGTGCAAGGTACCATGAATTCTCTTCAGTACCAGGAGATATTGGATGGAAACGTGATGCAGTCCGTCACACACCTGAGGCTTGGGAGACGTTGGACCTTTCAACAGGACAATGATCCCAAGCATACCTCCAAGTCCACTAGAGCATGGTTGCAGAGGAAAGGCTGGAACATTTTGGAGTGGCCATCGCAGTCACCAGACTTAAATCCGATTGAGAACCTCTGGTGGGACTTAAAGAAAGCAGTTGCAGTGCGCAAGCCTAAGAATGTGACTGAACTGGAGGCCTTTGCCCATGAAGAATGGGCGAAGATACCCGTAGATCGCTGCAAGACACTTGTGTCAAGCTATGCTTCACGTTTAAAAGCTGTTATAACTGTAAAAGGATGCTGTACTAAGTACTAAGATTGAATGTCACTTGGGGTTGAATAAAACTGATAATGCTGTGAGCACAGAAAAGACATTTGTGGTTATTTCATTATAACTGTTATGTTATATTTGTCTGACCTACAAGTGCCTCTTTAATGTAAATGTAAGCAAGATGACTGAATGATCAAAAGCAATGTCAAACTGGCCAAAACACTCAATTTCAGTGGGGGTTGAATAATTTTGGTCACAACTGTATATATAGATATATATATTATATATGTATATATATATATATATATATATATATATATATATATATATATATATATATATATATACACACACACATATATATTGAGACTACTTGCTGGTCCCCTTGCGATAGCAATAAAGTTAAATGAAAAAAATGTTTCATGACTTGAATGATAATAATAAAATATTTAAAAATATCAATGAAAACAATCTGAAAGCAACCTTGTTGCCTTGTGTCCACGCATGAATGCAAAAGGCATGCACGTGAATGTACACAGCAAGTATTGCTGTGAACATCAGAAATAGAGCAGTAATTCTAGGTCAATAATTTGCTGGTTAACTTGATAATTTGTAAAGACTTTTAAAGTGTTGCCTTTGGACAATTTTGGGTACTGTTGTTTTTTGCCATTATACGGGCATGTGCAATAATAAGACTTGACATGTTTGGTATCTATCTACTCAGCGCAACTGCATCTTCTAAATTTTACCCAAAAATGTGTGTATTATATTGTGTTTGTATAACATTAAAATTAATTTCAGCATATTTTTTCCTGAAAATATAGATTTGATAAACAAAAGGTGATTCTATGGGCCACTAAGTAAGTCTCCTTGAACAGTGGAATGACACTTGGCAGAGCTTAGCCACAAAGTCAGGGAAAGTAAACTAAGATCACTTAAGAAGTGATCCTGTTTAATACAGGCAATAGCATCTTGTGGTGTCTGCTCTTAGGCAGGACTTTTACAAGTATAAAATGGTGTACAGGTTCAATTTAAAGTGTTACTAAACCCACAATACTAAAATCAGTCTGTATATGCAGTAAAGCATGCTTGTTAAACTCACTGTGGAACCTAAGGGGTTAATCCTCCACATTGTGTAAAATGGCTGTTTGATCCTATTTTTTCTTCACTCTACTGTCCCCAATCCATCTGCTGATAGTACAGAGCTCTAGGAGTCACTCTGCAAATGTTCAGTTTAGTGTGTATGGCTAGATAGTTTTTTTATATATGGGAGTGTGCATGTGATCAGCACAGGGCCAATCAGCACTGTCCAGACAGAGGGTCAGGAGTTATGCAGATTCATAGGATAGTAAGAGCAGAATGAAAACTCCTCCTACAAGATTAACCAGTGCTCAGCAGGACACTGCTAAAATTCACAAGACTGCTATATATAGCTGATGAGAAAAGGTATTTAGTAGTTTATATTTACTAAAATAATTGAATTTCCATGTTGTGTGTACTGTGGGAGACCAGATATATTAAATGCAGGGTCCTGGGTTTAGTAACACTTTAAGCATGATGTAGCAGAAATACTGTAGTTTGTCTGTCCTCGTAGCTTTATATTTTTTGAATTACCGAAGACCTGAAACATTTGCTTCATACTTTACGATATTATCTGTACTATTTTGTGATAAATACAATTATTATTTTATATGTCTACTGCCCAAGAATATTGCCCAGATTGTGCATTCTCTATGTTGGTTACATCTGCACCAAGAAAACAATTTCATATACTAATGGAAAGAAAGGTCACTCAATACTTCCAACGCCAATACTATTTCCACTGTAAATGGACAACTGTTGGCTGAATCCCCCACTAACATCTCATATCTTTCAGGAACACCAGTGCTGGGATCTTTCACACTAATTTCAATCTAAGATGCCAAGTGAAATGCATTCCATTGCTAAACACTGCCTACCAAAATACACTAGTCTAGTCTGTAAATAATTGATGAAAAGGTATGAAACATATAATGTAGTAACTTATTTGTATCACTCCATACACTCAAGCTTATCCATTGAGGTATTACAAAGCATTTGATGATATGCAAACTGCAGTAGGCAATGGCAACCACTCAGATGTTGTATCCTACAGTCTGATTATTTAGCTTCTTGCTTCATATGGAATATCACACTCCCTATTGAATAATAGTCTGAATAATAAGACTGCCTATACTTATACAAATGAAGTTACCTTGTAAGTTTAGTCCCAATCTGTTGCCGGAGTTCCAGCCTTTCCTCATCCGTCTGCATGGGGAGGATATTCTTCTCTTCCAACTCTCTCTTGGAGGGTCTGTTGCTTAACTTAATCGCCAGTGAATCCTTCCTGAGGACCTTTAATGCCAAAGAGTCTTTGAAAATAGAATGATTAACAGTCAAATAATTATAATCCCCAATGTAACAGCACAGTATATAAAGACAAAGTTGCATATTTCAATATTATTTCAACACCACAAATTGCAAATATGGAGTTTTAAAAAAAAAAACATTTCACATACAATATTTGGCTAATTTTTGGAGGCATATAACAATTTATCATTTTGTTCATACTTTTTGGCTGTTGAATACTGTTATATCTATGTGGCTTTCACACTGTAAGGGACTGTGCTGACATGGTTTGTGTTTAAGTGGATTAACAACATTTCGTTCCTATGTTCCCAGAAGAATCAATATGGCAGCAAGATCCCACGCAGGCATGAATGGAACCGGTCTATGCTGCCAGTACTGCCCATTCATGGGCTTTCACTACCATTTTGTGATGTCAGAAATGAAGCAGTGAGATCCTGCATATGTGGGATAATGGCAGTACAGACTGGTCACTAATTCACATGCACAGGGTCTCATCATGATATTTCTGACATTGTTGGGGTCAGTGTAAAGGTACAGTAGTGAGAGCTAGGGCTGGTTCACACAATCACTGTGCTGAGTTCAGGGCAGAGGATGGTGGTCAGGAGTGAAAGCAGGGGAAAAGTGTGCAGATATGGAGGTGAGAGGAAGGTGCAGGCACAGTGGTGAGATCAAGGGTGTGGGATGTGAGAGTGTAGAGACGGGGTTCACAGTGGCGGTGAGAACAGGGGGAGTGGGCATGGAGATAAGGCAGCGAGGGGGCATGTAGGCATGGTGGTGATTGTGAGGGATCTAGTACAGTGGTCAGGGTGGGAAGGGGTGCAGGCTCAGTGTTGACAGTGGGAGCCTGCAGGGTTTACAGAAGTCAGGAGGAGAGGGGAAGGTTGCTCCTGCATGTGCTGACATATTCGTATATATTTCTGTATCATTTGTGGGAACTCGCTTCAAAGTGGTAGAGCTTTTAAACGCACACAGCAACTCGCTTGCTTTTTTAAGGCCTTTTTTAGCCCACTTTTATTTAAATGAAAGTTCAAAACAGAAGTTTCCCACACAGGGGTATCGATCATCCACAAAACAACGGTTCAGCCTCCTGGCTTATACTCAGCTTGCTGTCTGTCTCCTGCAGACTTCTTCAAGAATTATGGCTCGTGCACACAGCTGGCCATTAGCACACAGCTAGTCTCTAGCAGCCCCTTGCTGCTTTTGGCTTCCACCTCTCCTAGGTGAAGCCCACCTGACTTCCAGGCAGGGACCTCCCGTCTTCCAAGCGGAGCCCTCCTGACTCCTATCTGCTGGGGTGGAGCCCTCCTGACTCCTATCTGCCGGGGTGGAGCCCTCCTGACTCCTATCTGCCGGGGTGGAGCCCTCCTGACTCCTATCTGCCGGGGTGGAGCCCTCCTGACTCCTATCTGCCGGGGTGGAGTCCAGAACTCTGATCCTGACTCTCTGAAAAGGCCTGCACACACCTGTGCAATCAGTCTCCTGGCCATTCCCAAAATCTGGTCCCAGGATTGGAGATTTCATCCCTCCCAGATCTCTTTGAAATCTCCAGGCTCCAGATCCCAAAACAGACCTTACAAACAAAGGAGGAAAGTGAAAAGCCACTTTCCTCCATATCAAACCTTTACCCTGGAGCCCCTCAACCTGCCTTGTTGAGAATCCAGGGTGACAGATTGCCACACTGTCACACATTATACTATAAGACCTACACTGGCCAGCAAACCATCTCAACTTAGCTGGCAAACACATGGTTCTCAACCTTGCTCATCATACAACTAAGCAACTAAAAACTGAAATTCTAAATGACAGAGGGGAAACAAAACAATGCTAGCAAGATGGTCATGGAGTTTCACCCATGCACAGTAGAGTCTGTAGTAGAGTCTGTTCTTTGATATTGCTCCCATGCATGGATGGAGTAGCTGTCAGGGCCTACTAACATAGCACATGGGTGTGAGATTGGTCATTTTTGTGCAGGTGCAGCCTCACTCTTCCATACTGCTGATAACAATGTGCATTTATGCATGCATAGGGGATATGGGCCCATTCCTTATGACAACTTTGCTTAAACTGCCGCTTATCATTGCTTTAGAACTTAGATGCCATCTTAGAAAAGCAATTATTGAAATAACATGTTAACCCCTTGGACTTCTCTTAGTAAAAATATAGTTTTCATCTGCCATGAAAGTATTTTACTTTCTGTATGCTTTTCTTATAATACCGTATTTGCCGGCGTATAAGACGACTGGGCGTATAAGACGACCCCCCTACTTTTCCTGCTAAAATGTAGTGTTTGGGCTATACTCGCCGTATAAGACTACCCCTCTTCCAATGCACACCAGTGGGAGGAATAGTGCCCCATCATTGATGTCAGTGGGAGGAATAGTGCCCCATCATTGGTATCAGTGGGAGGAATAGTGCCCCATCATTGGTATCAGTGGGGGGAATAGGTGCCCCATCATTGGTATCAGTGGCAGGAATAGTGCCCCATCATTGGTATCAGTGGCAGGAATAGTGCCCCATCATTGGTGTCAGTGGGAGGAATGGTGTCCCATCATTGGTGTCAGTGAGGGGTGGAATAGTGCCTCATCATTGGTGTCAGTGGGGGGAGGAATAGTGCCCCATCGTTGGTGTCAGTGGGGGGGGGAATAGTGCCCCATCGTTGGTGTCAGTGGGGGGGAGGAATAGTGCCCCATCGTTGGTGTCAGTGGGAGGAATAGTGCCACATCGTTGGTATCAGTGGGAGGAATAGTGCCCCATCATTGGTATCAGTGACACCAATGATGGGGCACTATTCCTCCCACTGAGACTTGCTGACCTTGTTCTCGTATGGTGCTGCTGCAGCCAGCATATGTGGTTGCAGCAGCACCTCTACACAGAGCACTTACCTGCTGCTCCGGCACTCAATTTTCGCGGGGGGCCGCTCGGCTCCGCCCCCTCGCCGGTGATTGGCCGCCTGTGTGCCTTTCCTGAGCTACAGTTCTGGCGGCCAATCACCGGTGAGGAGGCGGAGCCGCGCAGCCGCACGAACATCCAGTGGCCGAACTGAAGGAGACGCCGCGCTTCCTGGACCGGATCGTCGTGGGACTGGATCCAGGTAAGAGACGTCAGCCCCTGCAAACCCCTGTACTTAATGCCGCAGCCCCCCTAACATGTGTACCGGCGTATAAGACGACCCCCGACTTTTGAGAAGATTTTCAAGGGTCAAAAAGTCGTCTTATACGCCGGCAAATACGGTAACTATAGGATATAAAATTATAGTTACATTGTGGGTAAGGTAAATAAATATATAGGTTCATCCAGTGTGTATGAATATGCATTGCTACAGATTCCCTTGCCCCTACCTCAGCCTCTTGCAATCCCGTATACAAAAAAGTTCAGACTGGGAGGGCTAGAATTAGCATAAGAAGCCAATCAGTTGTGCTGCAGTGCTTATGTGCAAACAAAGAACACGCTGATAGAAGTAGACAGCAGAGTGACAGAGTCTCAGCAGTCCTCTCCTTTCACTGTCCATTCACAGGCTAGGGAGGAACAAGATCTGTATCTGCTACTTAACTGCATAAAAAAAAATCAGGTGCACTACCCTGCAAGACAGGACTGTACCGTGTGGCAGAGATGTGTACATCTCAGACCTGGATGGACAAAAATACAAATCCTTTGACAGGTAAAACATTTCTCTTATACACTTATGTATTTCATCATTTAGCTGTCTGCCAGGAGTTCAGCTTTAAGTTGAGTTTCTGCCCAAATTTGTGGTTCGCTGGGGGCCCTGTTAGTGATTGGTTGAAATATCAAACATGGTCTATATCATTGTGCTCATGCCCCTGTACAGATTTTGGAGACTAGAAATTAGAGCAAGGGAGGGTTATTAGCCCTGTCAGTTGTTTGCCATTTGTTTCCCATTGTGGAGATTTCCCTTCCCTGTTACATAGCCAAATCAGGAAGTGAGAGGAAATCCTTGGTGGTCACTAGAACTAGTGTCCCGATTGTAAGTCTTGGTGATAATGGTAAACAGCAAAAATAGAGGAGGTAATTCACCCTAATGGAGACATAGATGGCAATGAAAACCTAACAGGTGGTTTACTCGATCTCCACCTATCCAAAACTAATAAAATAAATGCTTTCAGTAATATTTTAATCTGTCAATGTGATCTCTAGTATAATGCATCCAGTACTGTACCATAGTCCAAACTCTTCTCATGCTAGAATTTGCCTTGTTACCCTGGGTATAGCACCAGTTTCAGTTCCAATATGTCTATTTTTCTTTTCATAGAAAGTATTCATTATTAAGTACACAATATGAGGTAATGCGTATACAATGGACAGCCTTAAATTACAGATAAACTTAATTAGCCAAAATTGTAAAAAAAAAATCATCAAAGACATACTTGTGTATAATGAGCTGTCATCATCTTCATCTGTATCGTCATCGTCATCATCGTCATCATCTCTGGAGTAGAGGCAGGAAGAGTCATCATAGTTTGATTCATGAGGCACGTTTTCCTTGTCATCTTCACATTCAATAACAACGGTTGGCACTTGTCTCATGTCGGAATATCCACAGAGTCCTACTTTTGACATGCCATCTCCTCCATGCAAACCCGAGCTATGAAGATAAATAAAAGGACTCCCATCACTTTGTTCCAATATCACAATGCAATATCATAGCGTATATTGATACATAAAAACACTATTTTTTTCAATGGGGCAGCTTTTTATGTGTATAGGTATAAAAATGAAGGTTTACTCAGGAATCCATGGCATACTGGTATACTTTGACTTTCCATCATGTCAAAAAGGAAATTACACATTTTTTTTATTAAGATCTTTTTTGAACAAATGTGGTAGAAAGTAAGGCTAAGAAAATAAAAGTTTGTTATCAGATAGTGTAGTGCTTTCTTCTTAGTTGCTGACATTTTTTATTTTTTTTTACAAAATGTTTACAGTTTTAAAATATACACCAGAAAGATAACTGTTCAAGATATGTTACATATAAAATTATAACTCATAAATAATAACACACCTGTTTCATGGTCATCTTCAGCCTAATTATCTGGGATTCAGCATACTATTTAAATGAATCAGATAATTAAAGTATATCTAAAGCTCACCTTTATTTATTTTTTTTTAAAGTTGGGAAGAGTTAAAAACCATTAAGTACAAATATCCAAGTATGTTGTACCACATCAAGCATAATACAGCATAGGTATTCACTTCACTGTTAATTCCAACCAACAACAATACATGCATGTGTATACTATAGTACAATGAGCACCACTTAACGTACGACTAAAGGCAAAACCTTTTTTTTTACATTTTGGATATCTATGTACTATTGGGCAGGTTTACCTTCATTTCCCATCCCATAGCCAGGACAGGAAGTGAAGGAAATCACTGTAAATTATAGGGAATTCCTTGGAGCCCCCCAGGTCACCAGAACCAGTGTCCCCATTGGAAGATTTCCCCTTGACTGCTTTCTGGGGACAATCCAAAATATAGGGTTTCCTTTTACTTTCACTTTCAATGACAATGGTATACAGGACAAATAGAGAGGGTGAATCTCCCTAACAGGGGTACAGACAGCAATAAAAACCTAAAACAAATCTCCACTCTATCCTAAACTAAAAGTTGTGCCTTTAGTTATTGTGACAGACCCAACTGGGACAGGAGCTTTTGGAGGGGACTGTGTCCCGCTTGGGTCTACCACAGTTATACTTTAAGTAAAATTCTTCATCCTCCTCTCTCATTTCACCAAGTCTGGATCAGCTATCCTTCTCATTATTCTATTTTGAGTACTGAATTCCTGCTATATGACTTAAGTGGTGTTCACTGTACCTATACACATGCATGTATTGTTGATGGTTGGATTTAATAGTGAAGCGAATACCTATGCTGTATTATGCTTGATGTGATACAATATACTTGATTATAGAGTGCTCAGCATAAATGAGTACACCCTTTTTAAAAAGTAAGATTTTAATCAGTATCTCAATGAACACAACAACAATTTCCACAATTTTGACAAAACTGCATTTTATAGAACATTTGTTTAGCTCATTACATGGAAGTAAGGTTAATATTATAACTTAAATTACAAAACCCTCAGTTTTACTCAAATTAGTTGATGCAAAAATGAATACATCCCACAACAAAAACTACTACATCATGTATTTTGTATGACCTCCATGATTTGTGAAGACAGCACCATGTCTTCTAGGCATGGAATGAACAAGTTGGTGGCATATTGCAACATCTATCTTTTTACATTTTTCAAGAACAACCTCTTTTAGAGTCTGGAAGCTGGATGGAGAGTGATGCTCAACGTGTCTCCTTAGAATTCCCCATAGGTGTTCGACTGGGTTCAGATTATACTTGGCCACTGAATCACATTCACCCTGTTCTTCTTCAGAAATGCAACAGTGGCCTTAGATGTGTGTTTTGGATCATTGTCATGTTGGAAAAGTGCATGACGGCCAAGGGAACAGAGTGATGGTAGCATCTTCTCTTTCAATATAGAGCAGTACATCTTTGAATTCATGTTGCCATCAATGAAATGATGTGGTCACTGCATGGGATCCTCCAGAGGGTGCTAGGGGTTCTTTGAGCAATCAGCGACTTCTGCTTCTCAGATGAGTAATCACAGACACCACTGATCATTTTAGCTATCTCTGAGCAGGGTTCTTCCCAGTGACCACACATGTAAGGAGCATTCTTCTCATTAACTATCACACTAATGTACTGCGAGCTGTAAATAAAATAACCATTAGCAGGGGTTCCCTAAAGCCAGAAAGTTATGACAAGGGTTCCTCCATGCTAAAAATGTTGAGAAAGGCTAGTCTAACCCTTCAACACTATCCAAAATTAAAAAAATGTGTTTCCTTTACATACATTTTACCAGTTCTTGACATCATTACTTGTTATAGTTCCACAATCAGGGTATGTGATGAAGCATAATTTTATAAGCACGATGCATTTTAAATGAAATAAAATAATGTATCACCATTCTAGGAGGAACTGGATGATAGTAAGTACCTGCAGTGTGTGACAGCTCTGATGATAGACCCGATCCCAGCTGGCTACAAACACTTGGCTCTCACAAGGAAGCATTCCGTGTTTGCAGTAATGCCATAATTGCTTAATAAAGCAAAATGCCAGCACTGCTGCCAAATTTTCTGCCTGGACATTAAAAAATGAATGCAAACGAATACAAAGTGAGTCAGACTACTCATATATGTTTACACATCTGAGAATCACAGCAGTAATCCTAAGCCTGTTATTGCTGAAAATTGCACGCATTCCTGGCTCCACTCCATTGGCAACAAGGAAACTAGACAGACCCACTATTATAGGTTTGTGCCATCTGAGACAGTAATACATTTGTGCCATGTTGATGAGATAAATGAGACGGAAAGTTTCCATTTATAAACCAAGGATAACTGCACTATGATGTACATCTGGTTCACTATGTATTATTGTGGTTTTCAAAAGGGCATCAAAGCATACAACCCATACTGGGATATCTATAACATTAACAGCTTTCATGATAGTGTCCTTCACATCATCACTGCCACATTGTAGGCAAAACAATGACTCCACTATGACCCTTGCCATGGCCTCATGAATACATTGACAGAATGAAGGCATGTTCTTTTTGTCCATAGCAAACTAAGTCTAAACTAAGTGTTTCCCATCTAGTAAGAATGAAAGATAGCAGAGAATCTAACTGGAACACGTTTACGTTGCATGTGCTGCCAACAAATACCAATCAGTTTACAACTTTAAACAAAAGAAGGAATCCTATTGGGAACTGTGGATAGCATAGATTTTGTGTTTCGATAGATTATGACAAATATATACATCAGCCATAACCTTGTGACCACTCATCAAATATTGAGTACGCCGTTGAGGCATGGACGCCACTAGACCTCTTCAGGTATGCTGTGGTACCTGGCACTAAGCAGATCCTTTACGTCCTGAAAGTTGTGAGGTGAGGCCTCCATGGACTGGACTTGTTTTTCTAGCACATCCCACAGATGCTCCACTGGATTAAGATTGGAGATTGAGAGAATTTGAGATTGGAGAATTCAGAGGCCAAGTCAACACCTCAAACTTGTTGCTGTATTCCTCAAACCATTGTTGAACCATTTTTACAGTGTGGCAGGGTCCATTATCCTGCTAAAGAGACCACTGCCATCAGGGAATAATGTTTCAATGAAGGGGTGTACTTGGTCACCAACAATGTTCAGGCAGGTGGTATGTGATGAAATAATATCCACATAAATGGCAGGACCCAAGGTTTCCCAGCAGAACATTGCCCAATGCATCACACTGCCTTCACTGGCTTGCCTTCCTCCCATACTGCATACTGGTGCCATCTTTTCCCCAGGTAAGCCAACGCACATGCACCCAGCCATCTACATGAGGTGAAAGAAAACCATTTAATCAGACCAGGCCACCTTCATTCATTGCTCTGTAGTCCAGTTATGATGCTCGTGTGCCCAGTGTAGGCACTTTTGGCTGTGTTCACGGGTCAGAATGGGCACCTTGACCAGTCTGTGGCTATATAGCCCTACACACAACAAAATGTGATGCCAATTGTTCTGCTTTCAACTTTAGGGACAACATGTTTACTTGCTTATCAATATATCCCACCGACTTTCAGATGCCATTTTAACAAGATAATCAATGTTATTCACTTAACCTGTCAGTGGTCATAAAGTTAAAACTATGGGGTTGATTTACTAAAGGCAAATAGACTGTGAAGTCTGCAAGAGCAGTTGCTCCAGAGCTTGGAAAATGAGGTAAAGCTCTACTCTGCAAAGAATACCCAATCACGTGCAAGGAAAATAAAAAGAACAGCATTTTTGTTTACACATGATTGGATGATGAAAGTCAGCAGAACTTCTGCTCATTTACTAAGATCTGGTCTGCTCTTGCAGAGTGCACAGTCTATTCGCCTTTAGTAAATCAAACCCTATATGTATAATGTATTTATTTACTTCTACCAAAAAAATAGCAATCTGTAGACAAGCTGGTCTTGTTTTCAATGCATCTGCAATATTTCTTCTATCTTGACATCACAACTAAATGGAAGAGTAGATTTAGCTGAATTTTTGTTTCTAGAAATAGTTCAACATAGAACACTATGGCAGAAAAAATGATAATCGGTCAGCAGCATATGCCAAAGGCTTTTATATAAGAAGTGCTGACACAATCCAATCATATCTGATTCATCATCGTAACACACTGGATAAGCTTCAAATAGATAGAAGGCAGGCTGATTGCTTCATAATTCACAACTCCATCGCTCCCCAGACTCTTCTAGAAATCTGCAGAAACCGTAGTGGAGTGCCTATGATGGAAAATGATAACACAAAATACCTTGTTACACAGGTCAGCCCTTGACCTTTTCCCGAAGAAAGCAATCATCATCAGCCCTTAGGTTACGCTACCAGCTATACAACTGTTTATAGAGCAATCTAGATGTATCCTGGGATCCATGGACAAGGGGGAACTACCATGGGTTCAGGCTGTGTAGCTGCTCCCCAAAACTGTGAGATTGCTTTAGACATGACCTGCAGCACCTCCTAAATCTTTAGTAGTTTT